TGATTAGAGCTTTGTGACATGGTGGAAGTAGCCATCAGAGGATGGGTACATGGTGGCCATAAAGGGATGGACATGGTCAGAAACAATGCTCAGGTAGGCCGTGGCATTTAAACGATGCCCAATTGGCACTAAGGGGCCTAAAGTGTGCCAGGAAAACATCCCCCACACCATTACACCACCACCACCAGCCTGCACAGTGGTAACAAGGCATGATGGTTCCATGTTCTCATTCTGTTTACGCCAAATTCTGACTCTAACATCTGAATGTCTCAACAGAAATCGAGACTCATCAGACCAGGCAACATTTTTCCAGTCTTCAACTGTTCAATTTTGGTGAGCTCTTGCAAATTGTAGCCTCTTTTTCCTATTTGTAGTGGAGATGAGTGGTACCCGGTGGAGTCTTCTGCTGTTGTAGCCCATCCGCCTCAAGGTTGTGCGTGTTGTGGCTTCACAAATGCTTTGCTGCATACCTCGGTTGTAACGAGTGGTTATTTCAGTCACTGTTGCCCTTCTATCAGCTCGAACCAGTCTGGCCATTCTCCTCTGACCTCTGGCATCAACAAGGCATTTCCGCCCACAGAACTGCCGCTCACTGGATGTTTTTTCTTTTTCGGACCATTCTCTGTAAACCCTAGAGATGGTTGTGCGTGAAAATCCCAGTAGATTAGCAGTTTCTGAAATACTCAGACCAGCCCTTCTGGCACCAACAATCATGCCACGTTCAAAGTCACTCAAATCAACTTTCTTCCCCATACTGATGCTCGGTTTGAACTGCAGGAGATTGTCTTGACCATGTCTACATGCCTAAATGCACTGAGTTGCCGCCATGTGATTGGCTGCTTAGAAATTAAGTGTTAACGAGCAGTTGGACAGGTGTACCTAATAAAGTGGCCGGTGAGTGTATATATATATATAAATATAATTTTTGTTTTATTTTATCATATGATTTATATCACAAAACTGTTTTGCGCATGTACCGCTCTTGCGCGCTATTTCAGTCACAATACAGACAGACAGCAGACGTGAAAAAATGGTAGGCCTATTTGCTGTGAGAAACAGAATGGACCTCGGGTTCGGGTCGGGTTCGGGCTTAATATGTAAATGTAATTGTCGGGTCGGGTTGGGTCAGGTTAAATGATCGCGGGTACGGGCCGGGTTCGGCCTTCAGTTTAAAGCCCGTGCAGACCTCTACAATGGTTACCTCCAAAGAAAGACAGCCATCATCGCTTTGCATCAAAAATGGCCTCACATGCAAGGAAATTGCTGCAAAGAATATCACACCTGAAAGAACCATTTACTAGATCATCAAGTACTTCAAGGAGAGAGGTTCAACTGCAGTGATGAAGATTTCAGAATGTCCCTGTCAGGACTCGGGTTTGATCTTCCTTCCGTTTTCATCCTTTGTGTTTGTTTCTGTCTCTAGATGCATCTCTTCCTCCACTTCGGCCATATGACTGTGCCATCGATCTCCTCCCAAGCACTTCCCTGCCTTGTGGCAGTCTTTTCTCCTTGTCAGTATCTGAGCGGGCGGCCACAGAGTCATCCGGAATCATCCGTCCCTCCTATCTCCAGCAGGTATGGGATTCTTCTTTGTGAAGAAGGATGGCTCTTTGGGTCCCTGTATAGATTATCTGGGGTTGAATGACATAACGGTTAAGAACGGGTACCCCCTGCCAGCCTTCCAACTTTTGCAGGGGGCGAGATTCTTCACAAAGTTGGATCTGCGCAACACTTACCATCGTGTTCTGATTGAGGGGGATGAGTGGAAGACGGCCTTTAACACCCCCATGGGGCACTTAGAATATTTGGTTTTGACCATTTGGCCTGTCCAATGCCCCAGCCCTCTTTCAAGAACTTGTCAATGACATGCTGAGAGATATGATAAGTAAAATTTGTTTTTGTGTACCTGGATGATATTTTAATATTCTCTCCTTCCTTCCAGGTGCACATCCAGCACATCGTGTGCTCCAGCGGCTGCTGGAGAATCAGTTGTTTGTCAAGGCAGACATATGTACTTTCCATGCCCAGTCTTGTTCTTGAGTTCTGTCATTTTGGTGGAGGGGATTCGCATGGGCGATCGATGGTGAGGACCGTCTCTAACTGGCTCGTGCCTGACTCCAGAAAGAGTTTACAACAGTTCCTGGGTTTCGCCAATTTCTATCAGCGATTCAATAGGAACTTAGGCCAGGTGGCAGCCCCTCTGACTGCCTTGACCTCCACCAAGGCTAAATTCACCTGGACTCTGTGGTGGCTCAGAGTGCTTTTGATGAACTCAAACGCAGGTTTATTTCTGCTTCAATCCTTGTTACACCTGACTCCGCTTTGCAGTTTGTGGTGGAGGTTGATGCATCAGATGTCACGAATAGCTCTGAGACTGGGTGAGATCCAAGTGCAGCTTTATTGGAAAATCCAGAATTGTAGTCATGCCAGGCAAAGGGTCAAAAACACTTACAAACAATCCACAGAAGAACAAAAGACAAGGGAAAGTGCTCAGGAATGCCGTGTGACAATTACAAAACCTTGATGAGAGATGTCAGAGAGAACATGGTATAAATAGGGTGAGACAAACAATGTAATGACACACAGGTGAATGCAATAATTAGTGATGAGTCCGGGCAAAGGATTATGGGAACTGAAGTTTATGGCTGAGTGGCAAAGGTCAGAGAAGGAGTGCCCTCTGGTGGTCAACCTGGGCACACCAGCTGATAACTGTGACATCAGAGGTAGGTGTTGGAGCGGTTCTCTCTAAAATATCCCTTCAAGATAATAAGTTACTTCCATGCGCTTATTTCTCACACCGTTTGTCTCCCGCAGAGCAAAATTATGACATCTTCAATCGAGAGCTGCTGGTGGTACAACTGGCTCTGGGGGATTGGTGTCACTGGTTGGAGGGGATGGCCATTCCTTTCATGGTGTGGAACGACCACAGGAACTTGGAGTACATTCGTTCGGCTAAATGGCTGAATGCCAGGCAGGTTCTTTGGGCATTCATTTTTGGGCGCTTCGACTTTTTGTTATCTTACAGACCGGACTCCAAGAATGTTAAGCCTGATGCATTGTCACGGTGCTTCGCTACCTTGGTTGACATGCCTCCTCCTGACACCACTTTGCCTCAGGGCCTTAGTGAGGGCAGTCACTTGGGTAATCGAAACTCGCGTCAAACGAGCTCAGGCTGGAGTCGAAGTGCCCCAGGGATGCCTGGAGAGTTTGCTTTTTGTTCCTGACTCGGTCCACGCCGCCTTTCTCCCTAGTAGGGTCAAATCTTCCAGACTAATGTGCCACCCCGGAGTGAGGAGGTCGCTAGCTGCCATTCGCCAGCGGTTTTGGAGCCCCACCTTGGCAGAGGACATCCATCGGTTTGTGGGTGCTTGTGCGGTCTGTGCTCAAAATAAATCCTCCAATCTACCATCCGCTGGTCTGTCACAACTTCTCGCAACAACCCATGATGTTGTGAAATTTGGTGGTGATCCTGTGCATTTTCCAGCTTGACGGAGCACCATGTCACAAGGCAAGAGTGATAATGAAGTGGCTTGGAGATCATTACATTGAAATTTTGGATTCGTGGCCCGGCAACTCCCCAGATCTTAATTCCGTAGATAACCTGTGGTCCATCCTCAAAAGGCAAGTGGACTAGCACAAATTGTGATAAACTCCAAGCACTAATAAGGCAAGAATGGGTCACCATTAATCAGGATTTGGACCAGAAGCTAATATCCAGCATGCCCGATGAATTGCAGAGTAAATATCGACTCTTTGCATATATTGAATGTTTTTGCCAATAAAAGCCTTTAAAACGTATGAAATGCTTATCATTGATTTCCAGTATACCATAGAAACGTAAAAAAAATAATTAAAAATACTAAAGCAGAAAACCTGAAACACTGTACTCACCCTCATGTTGAAAGTCTGTGAGATTAAAAAACCATGTATGGACCCAAAAAAAAGAAAAGAAACATCTTCTTTGCATTCCACATCAGAAATAAAGTAAGTTACACTTTAATTTAAGGTGTCATTGTTACAGTGTAATTATTTATTTAGGTACTGAGTAATATTAATTAACAACATGCACTTACTATAGGGTTAGGGTAGGATTAGGGTTTGATTGAGGGTTAGTTGCATGTAATTATGCATAATTTACTGTCTTCTAACAGTGGAGTTCCCATCAGTTTTGTGGTCTGAGTATAACCCAAGCGATGTGGTCAATGCTGTCATAAATTTAAAAATCATTTGAAGCTGCTGTCGGTTAATTAAGATTTGGCCATCTCGACTAGACTTGGTTATTAAATAATGTTGTCTCAACTGTGATAAGACATTCCAGTGTTATGTAAGTCACTATATTTGATACTTACATTAGTCAGTGTCACCATATGGTTAAAGGCGTGATTCATGGCTATTGCGAGAATAGAAAATGAGCTTTACTTAAGTATTCCATTCACTCCTAAACTGTAGTACAAACAGATTAACAGAGCAATAATAGGTCATACTCAAAAACTGGTGAATAAATGAACAAACGGACAAACAAAAGAAAGAACAAATAAAAAAAGAACAAGAAAAAGAAATTAAGCTAAATTAATTGAACGGAAGGATGAAAACAACAGAAAAAAAGAAATTAACAATGCATGAGCAAAAGAATAAACAAAAGGAAGAACACAAACAAATGAAAGGAATAAAAACAGATACAAAAAAGCGAACAAATGAAAAGGAAAAAATTAACAAAAACAAGACAAACAAACAAAAATTAAATCAAAAGATAGAAATAAAAGCAAGCGAAAGAAAGAAAGAAAGAAAGAAAGAAAGAAAGAAAGAAAGAAAGAAAGAAAGAAAGAAAGAAAGAAAGAAAGAAAGAAAGAAAGAAAGAAAGAAAGAAAGAAAGAAAGAAAGATTGCGCTGAAAGTAAGTTTACATAAGGTCACTGCATGATTTGACCCAGACAGCAATCTGGAAGGCAAACAAAACCACAAATAAACAGCAAAATGCTCAGACACAGAGAAGAGACTGACCTTAAGCCATTGAAAAGCTGTTTGGACTTGTCCAGGAGATAGCAGAAGTCAGTGACAGTTTTCCTCTCACAGAGAGGGATGTCATCCTCTGCCCCCACCCCTGTCATGGCAGCTGCTGTAAACAAAACAAACAAACCAAAATAGTGAATTCAAAACAGACTGTCGGCAGAGTTATGCAAAATCGAGTCGTTAGTGCAAGCACGTCATTCAAGCAGCCATCAGTGGTGAGGGAAGTTTTATGATTCACAGTTAAACGAGCACCACAGAACTCTGAACTGACATACTGTGGGTATAAGAATCTGCATCTGTGACGTGGGCAGATGTTGAATCAGCTTTGACGAAAACTGACTAATTCCACCTCCAAACCAACTGATACGCTCTGACGAATTTGCATTTTAGTTGGAACAAAAGTTTCACAGAGGAAATTTAAATAATCCATTTATATATCTATGAACTTCATGGAGATGAATAAAACAGGATACATTCAGCTAGAAGTAATTTTTTATTTTTTAAATGTATAGTGAAACTGTAAGTTTATCTGTTCCAAGAACAGAGTCATTATTACATTGCTAGTGAGAAATGTTATGTAGCTTTTAAGTTGTTAAACTATTTTACTAATAAAATCATAAGAGCTGCGCTGACAACACGTTTCTGTGCGATTGTGTCCGTACTGTATTTGTGTGCGTTTGAGCGTAAGAAAGAGAGTATGTGCTTTGCTTTCCATATAATAAAACGTAATATTGTGGCAAAAAATATGGAAATAATTTGGCGTTTTTACCCTGTTGTTTACTATATCTATTTGCTTGGTCAGTGTCATTGAGGGTTTGGTTCTTCTGCTGTTGTAATCTGTAAAGACCTTTGAAATAACTGAAATCATTTGGCGAAGTGATATGGAACTGTAATGCGGTCAAGACCTGCCTGGAACTACTTTAGCTGTGCGTTTACCTGAAAATAATTCCACACCTTAGAACGTTTGTCAACCAATCAGATTCAAGTACAATCTGTGCCTTTCAGCGTGACCACCAACCCAATGAGGTGTTATAGCACATTTTTGTGCATGTGAAAAGGATGATGTTTTGTGTGGATATTGGAACACGGGTGAAGTACAAATCCTAGTTTACATAATAGATAATGGTTTTGAATTTGTTTTGGCTTGACGTTTATATAGCTACTTATATTTTTAATTCTTGTTCTGTGCTGAATACCGTTAAATTTGTTGAGTGAGTGAATTAAAATAGTCTATTTTAGGCCTATAGCCTATTTTTATAAAAGTTTATGTTTGTAAAACATTTAGCTTTATTTACCGTTATTACTAAATGTAATAATAAAATGTGACTAAAGGCCTGTTTATACCAAGGACGATAACTATAAAGATAATGATAAATATAGTTCTAAAAATCGTTCACACCACAGCTATAATGATAACGGCACAGAGAAACGATATCGTTGGAATCACTTTCAGAATGATTTTATCCAGCTGATGAACGATAAGAACATTGACAGCCAATCAGAATCCATACTGCTGTAACAAGCTTGAGCGTTTAAAGCGTCAGACAAGAATGCGCTTAGAATAAACAGAACGATATCGTGAACGGGCCTTTATACGTGACTTATCTGGGGGGAGGATTTTCTCAAAAATGCTAAATTTTATTTGTGTAGCATATTTAACCCAGCAACAAACATTCGAAAATATTTCGAAAATGTAATTAAATCGGTAAAAATTCTTACCGTCGGTTAACGGTTAACCAGTTAATTATGAGCATTCCTAGTCGTGGAGATGCTGTATTTTTTCGCTGTGGGGGCAAAGAAATTGTATGGACTCTATGGAGACAAATACTGTCGCCATAGTTACTGTTTACAGCTGTTCATAAAGCCTCAGGAGCTGAAACCCAATTATGGGGAGGAACATTAAAGTTTTGACACGCTTTAAGCGATTGACCAATTGACTGGACTTGTTGACCAATCATGAGAGTATACAGGAATTTTCAGAAAGGCGGGCTTTAAAGAGACAGGAACTAAAACAGTGTGTTTCGGGCAGAGGGTGAAAAGACGTGCTGCAGCAATTCAAATTATGAGAAAATATTGCTTTTGAACTTTAATGTCTGGTTTCACAAGACAGGGCTTAAGTCTTTAGTCCCAGACTAAAATTAATGTTTAGAACTGTCTTAACTCAAAGTAACTTGCACTGACATATTTAAAAAAAAAACATGTCAGCAGCGCCATTGTTTGTTTCAAGATGCACACAGGTAAAGGTTTTTTTTCTAAGGCCCGTTTTTTTTTAAAATACTTAAAATGTCCTACTCTAACTAAGGCCTTATTCTGGCTTAATCTAATATCTGTCTGTGAAACTAGGCCAATATCATGTAAATGTATTTTAGCAGACCTCAAAAACAAAATTATGTACTCGCAAATAAGCATAATATGGGCACTTCATGATTGTATTTGCAGGAAGAGCCCATATTACTAATTTAATAACACTGTTAAATGTATTATAATGACAGTATATCCATTTTTCATACTGTACATTATAGCGGTGTGATGCCTAAATTCACTTGTAGCATTTAAAATGATTTGAAGACCAGGAACGTATAGGAAGTAAGGTCATTTTTTTTATTTCATGCTACTTTTAATCATTCATTTTATTTTACTTACCACGATAAATAAATAAACCACTAAAGGACAGCGGAGGTTTAGGTCATGCCAAATGCCTGCTACATATGCCATCACCCACTGATCTTTTATGGCTGAATAAAGGGATATCTCAATGGCCTTTCCTGTTCAGAAACAAGCTCAAAGCTTCAATGGCCTATAAAGACAGCACATAGTCCACTCTGTGCAATTGGAAAAAGGTCGGCTCTTAACCAAGGGCCAATTAATCTGCATGTTTTCACATAAAACAGTGAGAAACATAATAATTCCCTATGCTAAATAAATGCTAAAAAGCATAGTTCAATTTCCATATTTATTAAGGGATAGTTCACCCAAAAATAAAAATTCTGTCATCATTTACCCACCCTCAAGTTGTTCCAAACCTGTATGAATTTCTTTCTTCTGCCGAACACAATAAGACATTTTGAATAATATGGGTAACCAAACAGTTGATGGGCCCCATAGTCTTCCATAGTATGGAAAAAATACCATGGAATCAATGGGGCCCATCAACTGTTTGGCTACCGACATTCCTCAAAATATCTACAAGCCATACAGGTTTATAACAACTTGAGGATGGGTAAATGATGACAGAATTTTCATTTTTGGGTGAACTAACACTAAATATTTTTGTGAAAATGGCTTAGCTTGTGTGTTTGTGTGAGACTAGATGGTGTTAAACAAACAACACCGCACATTTCACCTCTGTGGTGACAAGAGATAAAATCGTGTGGCATAGATGTGTCATAGGGAGGACATGTGCAGCTTTTTCGGCTACACTGGGAGGAATCAGGCGTTGTGTGTGTATGTGTGTCTGAGGGGTGGATTGGGGGGAAAAGAGAGCAAGGGACGAGGAAAGTATGAAAGAGGGAGTGTGACAAATACACGCCAAAGGCTGAATGTGCAGTGCTTACTGCTCGGATCAGATGTTAAATCGGACCAGAGTGGGGGAGAGGTCCACACAAGAGAATGAACGTTAATAAAAATCCATAATACACATGTAAAGCATGAATTTTAAGTGAGCTTTGTGAAATGACTAGAAGCTCAGATGAGGTCCATTTATAACTGGTAAGATTCAAATTCAACAATGTTTTTGAATAAAGCATGTCTATATGCATGGAAAGCTCTAACTCCATCACATCTGTGAGAATAAATGGAAAATTGGTATGTTGAAGGCCTGTTCTTACCAATAAGAGCAACTAATGTATGATGTATTATGCTGACATTGGAAGCCACTGCAGGGAAAAACATAATTTATTGCCTGAAACTGTGTACAATGTCAGCTTGTGTGTCTGCATGTGTGCATGTGGTCAGGGAAACATTCAGCTGTCAGTCTATGGTGGCCTGAATGGAAAAGACCTGGGCATGTCCATCACCCCTGCTCAGCCTCCAGATGGCTCACCATGGTCCACTTATGGACTGTTTCTGCCCACCTTTCAAGTGCTGTCAACAAATTCAGAGAATATTTTGGGGATATTTCCCCAAAAGAAGAATTTGGCACGATTAAACCAATTGGTGATTTAAATATTATCACAGCAGCAACACCTCATTTATATAAGGTTGTGCATACGCGATTAAAAAAATTAAAGAATAACACTGCAATAAAAAAGGTAGTTAAAATTTGTAAGGCATTCATGTTAAGATGCTGAATTTAGTTTAGTGTACAAATGGGGTACAAATTTAGTTTAGTGTACAAATGGGGCTGACTCTACCCAAGAAGTCAAGGTTTAGCTGGTTACCAAAGGTTACTCTGTTCGCTCCTGCTACACCATCTGGCTCTAAAAAGCACTGTGGCTTGTGACAATTAATAGGTAATTGTCATTGCCATTAAAGTGAAATAACTGAACATAAACATACAAGCTTGATAAAAATGATCATTCTAGAAGAAAATTGGCACTTATAGGCTTTTGCATCTGAAGTCTTCATATATACGTCCATCTTTTTTTTACAGTCTATGGTTTAAACTGACAGGACTTAAAACATGCGAATGATAAACTTTCACTCTATGATGGTTAAACTTTGCAATTAATCCACAAATCACGTCATGCGTTACAAACCGGAAGCGATCAACTACGATCCCTATACTTGACATTGCACATCCTGCGATGTGACTATTGTTGCGGATGCACACATCGTGATATCAATGCTAATACGACACATCGTACAGCCCTAATTGATAATAATAAATGTTTCTTGAGAAGCAAATCAGCATATTAGAATGATTTCTAAAGAATCACTGAAGACTGGAGTAAGTAATGGCTGCTGAAAATTCAAGTTTGCCATCAAAAGAATAAATTACATTTCAAATAAATATTAAAATAGAAGACAGTTATTAAATTGTACTAATATTTCACAGTATTACTGATTTACTGTGTATCTGACCAAATAAATGCAGCCTTGGTGAGCATATTAAAAGATTTAGAATTTTGGTTTGAATTTTAGAATGGTGTAAAGTAACATTAGGAG